CCCCTCCGACCCTCCCGCCGAGGTTGTGGACTCCAGCCCTCGCGGCGGCAACCGAGATGCTCTGGGCGTGAGGGTGAAGCATGGCGAGAGCATGATGCATTTGATCTTCGATATCGTCGCGCCCGCCAGTCGAGGCAAGGACGCCCCGCCGCCGGGTGACGACGAGGGGGGCCCTCCGCCGCCTGGCCCAGGCGGGCACGAAGGCGGGCTAGGAGACGGAGGCGACGACGGTCCTTTTAGCCAGTTTGCTGCCATGGGGGCCGACTTTCTCGAGGGATTCGCATCGATGCCTCTTCTCGGCGCCGGCGGCCAGATCGCCGTTCCCGAGAACGACAAACGACGCGGGGGCGTCGTCAGCCTGGGGCCACTTTTGGACAAAGATTCTGTTTGCCAAGAAGCCCGCGCGGAGGGGGCGATCAGTGCCCCCGATGAGAATCACTGCTCAGATGAGGAGTATATCGATTACCAGGAAGGCGGCTCGTCCGACTCAGAGGAGAGCATCGTTCCCCCATCAGAGGAGAAGAAGCGCAAGCGTGAACCTGAGGCCCAACCCAGTCCTGGAACCAAGCCAAAGCAAGAGCCCAAACCAATTCCGAAACCAAAGCCCGTGGAGCCAGATCTCTCGCCAGCGCCGCCTTCACATCCGCCCGCAGACCTACAGCAGCAGGAGCATGCTGGGTGCTGGGTGTTGTTTCAAAAGGGGTGGGTGAGTTTGGCCTTCTTGGGCGGTTTTTGGGCTGGCGCGCGTCCCCTTTGTCTTGTGAATGCGCGGACAGTGCATTTAGCAGAATTTACACAGCTCAACATATCTTATATTCTGAAAGCGTGCCCAAATTCTCTCGTGCCCCCCCCCGTTCCCTCGTGGCCTCTCTCCCTCCACCTCGCCTGATTCGGCCTTGCCCTCCTCCTCGTCCCCCTAGGCCCTCTCCTCGCCCCCCTCCCATTGCCCCGCGCGAGCCCCACGCGAGCCCCACGCCCCACGCGAGCCCCGCGCGAGCCCCTCGCGAGCCCCGCGCGAGCCCCTCGCGAGCCCCACGCGAGCCCCGCGCCCCACGCGAGCCCCACGCGAGCCCCACGCGAGCCCCACGCGTGGGAGGAGGAGGAGGACGAGGAGGACGAGGAGGTCGAGGTGGACATGGAGGAGCAGGAGGACCAGGAGGAATTCAAGGAGACGGAAGAGAAGGTGGAGGAGGAGGGACCTTACATACGCACGAGGGCACGCCTGCCCCCCCTCCCACCGCGCCCAGAGGAGCCGTCGAAGGAGCCCGAGGCCGCGTCGATTGTCTTTGCTGGCAGCTGTGGCGGAGGCGACGCTGGCGCGCCAGGGCCGTCGGGGAGCTCATCCAGCGGAGGCCCTGAAGCTCCGCCGCTTGCGCCCTCGTCCCCTCTGCCATCTGCAGGCGCATCGGGGAGCGCAGGCGCGTTTGCTCCACTCTTATCACCTCTGTCTCCTCCTCCCTCTGGCGGCGCCTCAGGGAGCGGAGGCCCCGTTGCTCCGCCGCCGGCGCCTGTCTCTCCTGTTCAGGGGTCGGAGAGCTCGTCGAGCTCAGACGCTTCCAGCTCCAGCTCTTCCAGTTCAGAATCTGGCGATCCACCCCCGGAGCCCGCGCCTGCTGGCGAAGACGGGATCCCGCCTGCAGCGGGGCCGGAGGGGCCGCCTGCGGTGCCAGCCCCGCCTCCGCCTCCGCCTCCTCCACCGCCTGGCCCTGAGCCTGCGGGGGGCGTTGTAAAGAAAGGTAGGTTTACGTACGTTCCGTTTGCAGGCGGCCATTTTGCTTACGATAACGATCGTAACCTCAATGCGCACTGTTCGCACGAACATGAGGACACCACTGCAAAATGCCACTCGGACAAGCGGGTGACAGGCCCGCCGCCGCAGGGGCGCCCGATCGGGTTTCTCGCCGCGTGGATTCTAGCAGCTCCTGATTTCCCCACAAAGCGGGAGCATCAGGCATACAAGAAAGAATTGGGATCGGTCGATTGTTTTGACGTTCGCATCAATGCACGTTTGTACGTGGAAGCCCTCGCAGAGGACAACCCCGCATTGCGGGCTGTTCTCCGACGCGAGCGCCCTCCCACGGACGGGGAGCTCGAGCTCGGTGGCGAGCCTCTAGAGATTCCCTGGAGAGGGTAAAGTGTAATTGTGTAGAGCGGCCGCAGCTTCTTCGGGATCCCACGCATGAGAGCGCTTCCAGCACCATTGCCATTATCGCGTCGTTGCCCCCCTCACCCGCTTGACGTCCACATCTCGCCCCCAGACTCATCCGCTTCTTCTGTCTGGGCTCGTTGTCACTTCAGCTTGAGTTATCAATCTGATAATGAAGCTACAGAGGGTCGCTCAGGGGGAGTTCACCCTCCCCCCCGCGTGCTCCTTCCGCGGGCCCCAGGACCCGCCTTCCAGCAGTTTCTGAGAGATCTTGGCTACGGAGAGTGGAAACGAGCCATGGGCCACGGGCCAGGGGCCATGGGCCACGGGAGAGGGGGCGGGGGGCGCTTGGAGAGGGGAGGGGTCGCGGGGGAGAAGGAGGAGGCGAGGAGAGGGGCAAACAAGGAGAGGGACGAGGAGAGGGACGAGGAGAGGAGGGATTGAAGGAGACGCGAGAAGAGCAGGCGGGCAGGGGGAGGAAGGAGGACGAGGGAAAGAAAGAACGGCGCGGTAAAGCCCCATCTTACAGCGCTACGCGACCCAACAACAAGCTTGCATTAGGCCCCGCTTCCCCCGCCCACCTCCACCCCCAGGGATCTTCGAAGGAGGAGGCGATGCTCATGATCTCATGATGTCGAGAAGGTCAATCTCTGTATTCGAAACAATTTGCTGGCGCGGGGAGCCAGGTTGTGTCACGTTCAATCGGGTGTCGCCGCACTTGGGCGTCAAGAGCGTTCCCTGACTAGCTTCGCCGTGCCCCCAGCGGGCCTCAGGGGACCATATTGACCATATGCCGTAACCAAAAGCCAAGAAAACGTTTCGGTAGCCCTCGGATGGCACATCAGGATTGGGCCAGCTTCAAATTACAACGTTCGAAATTCTGATAAGTGCTCCCTTTGGTCCCCGTTGCCATGTTAGGCTCAAGCCTCCGTCGCACCACGTGATTTTGCGCGCACTTAGACGGTCGCTAACGATGGCCCCGAAGAAGAGGAGGAAGAAAATCTTCGATGACGAGGGCGGCGCTGAGGCCCAGGGGAAGAACCCATTCACGATCTCCCAAGCTCGAGACCGCCACAAGGGAGCCATTGTGCCAGCCGAGACAGATGATGATGGCTCAGGTGGTCGGGCGCCCGACGCTGTAGGCAGCAGCCTGGCAGACTGCAGCATCCCAGGCGCGATCGTCCCTGTCGACGCGCGTGAATCACAGCTCGGGCAGTCGTCTGGTCTGCCATATATCCCCCCTGACATCGGGAACGCCATCGGCATCAATGGTGCTCAGCTTGGGGACGCCCGCGACAGCCAGACAGCAGCAGAAGCGGCCCCTGCAGACACGACAGCGACATCACAGGAGACCCCTGGAGGAGACGATCTATCCATGCAGCTGGCCATAGTGATGGACGATGCCAACGCGCGCGAGCAGGCGGCCCCCGCTGCTTCAGAAGCCCAGGCCCATGCTATTGTCCCGAATGGAGATCCAGGGTCAGCTTCCGAAGTTGCTCTCGTTTGTCTGGGTGGTCTCTCGACGGAAACCAACTTCGCGTCTATTTTCGACGCGTCCGCCATCTCGAACGGCTTCGAGAGCCTGCCAGGCGACGTCGCCTTGATGCTCGCAGAGGTAACCAGCAAGGACCAGTTTGGGATTGATTGTATTGGTTGTATTTGTGGTTGACATTGGTTGTATTAGTTGTATTAGCGGTTTGGCATTAGTTGTATTAGTTGTCCGGGGGGTCCCGGGGGGTCGGCGCCCCGGGGGGTCGGGCCCCGGGGGGTCCTTACAACTAATTGGACAACCAATTCCCGGGGGGTCGTTTCGCTCGATACATCCTCTGATTTCGCAATTGGTGGTGAATTGGTGTCCGATTGGTGACTTTTTTGACAGCCAATTCCCGCCCGGGGGGTCCCGGGGGGTTAGACAACTAATACAACTAATCCTAGCCGCTTATACACCATTAACAACCAATGCAGACAATGAACGCCACTAATGCAACTAATGCGTTCAGCCTCCGAATGGCCTCCAGGATTCCCAGAACGACATCGGGGCCCAGGAGGGCAGCCCAGCGGAGCAGAAGCCCCAGGAGAGTACCCCAGCAGAGCAGGAATCCAAGGAATTGGATTGGGGAAGCCCAGACCACCCAATGCACTCGGCCATAGAGAGTTGGCACGATTCGCTGACTGGGGACTCGGTGATGACCCTCAGGGCGGGCCTCGCTGGGCTCAAAGGGAGGTCCCTGAAGATCGGCACGGGGTTCTCGGGCTCGGAGATCACTGGTCAGACGCTCTCCGAGTTGGTGAAGTATTGGAGCGCTGTCTATGGGATCAAGGTGACCTCGGGCACTGCTCCGATGAAAGTTCGGCCGCCCTCCCCCTGCGCGCTGCTACTACTGTCCCGCATTCCCGCGCCCGTGCTGCCCTTCCTCCTCCTCCTTCTCCTCCTCCTCCTCCTTCTCCTCCTCATCCTTCTCCCCCTCCTCCCTTCCTTCCTCCTCCTCCTCCTCCCTCTCCTCCTCCCTCCTCCTCATTCTCCGTCTCCTCCTCCTCCTTCTCCTCCCCCCGCCCCCATCCAGTCTCCCGTCTCTCCCTCCCTCCCTTTCGAAGCTCCTGAGGGCCCCCCCTCCGCATCCAGTCCATCCTCGTCCCTTCTTCGCTTGGAAATGCCCATGATGCGCCCTTAGCCCTGGGCGCGCGTCGGGCCCTGGCCCAGCCCTGGGCCCCTGGACGTTTGGAGCGTTTCAGAGCCTGGCGATCAGAAGCACTGACCGCGCCTTCTGATCGAAGCGTCGCGCCCCTTCGGGGCCCATCTCGGGGCCCCAGTCGACCTGGTCGGGGAATGTTCAGATGCGTTTGTAGCTCTCAGGTGAAGGTCGAGCACATGTTCGCTTGCGAAAGCGAAACCCAGAAGGCCGCCTTCATCCGTGACCAAGGGCCAGAGATCAGGCACATCTTCCGTGACATGTCGCACCTGGCACAGGCGAGGGCTTACGATATCCTGGCGGCAGACGAGGAGCTTGTCCCGCAGGTTGACTTGTTCTTGTTCGGCTTCGTATGCAAGGATAAGAGCAAGCTGAATAGGAACCGTGGCGCCCTGACACATTGCATCCAGGAGGAGGGCCAGCGAACAGTCAGCGCGAAGGACGCTGGGGGCGACGAAGAGGCCCCGAACAAGAGGTCGGAGTCTGGGGCGACGTTTGAGTACGTCAAGGAGTATCTGATGGCCAACCAGCCACCATTCATACTGGGGGAGAACGTGCCTGAGATTGGCAACAAGAAGCACACCGATGCCGAATCAGATCTGGACTACGTTAAGAGAACGCTGACTGAGGTTGGGTATGATATCACAGTGAACGTTTACAGAGCTGAGGAATTTGGTTCCTTAGCAATCCGACCTCGTCTCTTCATCCGCGGGGTGCTGAAGCGCTTGCAAGGCGCGGCCAAGCTGGAGCACTGCCACATTGTGATGAACGAGATGCGAATTCCCCAGATCGATCCCACGATAATTTTCGGTTCAGGTCTGCGGGACTTGCTCGAGATCGACATCACAACGGACTGGAAGACGGCGAGCAACATGAAGGACCCTAAATTTCGCGACGAGCACCTGGAAGTTTACATTGCCCACGAACCACGGCTCGACTATCCGCCGAACTACCTCAGCATTGGCGGCGAGCCTTTTCAATTAGCTTGCAACCAGTTGGAAGAGAGGGCCCGCGAGCTTGTTGCGTACTGCGAGCTTACAGAGCCGTGGCCGACGGACGCTGAGATAGAGTTCATGGATACCAACTTGTCGCTCCGTTATTTGCGCGGGCCCTCTGGGGCCAGAAGGGCTTGGTCCACGTCGTGCCCCTGTCTCGCTGCCTCGTCGAAGATCTTCGTGCGGGCAATGGTCGGCGGTGAGAAATTCTGGGCTTTGCTTCCTGGCGTCTTCCTCATGCGCATCATTGGCTATCCGGTGAGCTCGGAGGGAGGTGAGGTTCCGTCTGATAACGAGGCCGATGAGATGTGGTCTTGGGAAGATAAGAAACTGATGACAAGCCTTGCTGGGAATGCGTTCAGTGGCTTCTGCGTTGGCCCGCTCTTGATTGGTTTTCTCAGCGCGATGTACAACAGCCGCTTTGCAACTGCGCAGTAGATGCGCCCTTTCTGACTGCAAGGGCAGTCGGCAGCCAATGCCGCGATTTCGCGGGGGCTGAGCCTGCCATCCGCTAGAACGCATTTGAGTCGTGACGGCTTCTTCCATCGCCCAATCGCGCCGTCCGTCTTATGATTACCCTCCTTTCTCCTGCGATCTCTCCAAGACCGTTGCCCTGCCGCCATCCTGCCGTCCTCCTCATCTCTGGTTTCGCCTCTCCTCCTCTTAGCTTCGTCCACCTTCCCCGCTTCCGTTCCTCTCGCCACCTGACGCCGCCCTCTTCCATATGTCCTCCCGCTTCCCCTCTCATATGCCATCGCGTGCCACGCATCTCCACCTCCGTGCCTCATATCCTGCCTTGCTGCTTCTATCTTATACATTCCATTCCCCTCTTTCGCTATCTGTCTCTCGCGGTCCGCAGCACTTGGCGACGGAGCGGCCTTGCTCCAGCAGCAGCTCTCCGTTCTCGCCATTGCCGACCTTATGAGATATGCTCCTGCGGGCGCGGGGGAGGGGGTTGGGGAGGGAAGTGATGGGCATGGGTCTGGGGTAGGCATCAGTCTGTTTGCAAGCGCGGCCTAGCCGCCCGCCATCCAGGACTCGCTTCATCTTCACTCACCCCGTCTGTCAATCCCCAATCCCATTCCACTGTCGCCCTGACGCCCCCCCTGCAACATTTGAATTCTTCGAATGGGGCCGCGTCTCACAGTCTGACAGTAGCTAGCCATTCGGTGTCAAGTTTGTTTTTTTTGGCCAGGGGAGCGAGCCTTAACATCAGACGTTGGACGTCCTCGATGCCAGCGCGCGGTTCGGACGTCGTCAGTGTATCCAGCGACGATTCTAGTGATATCTACACTCATCCTACTCTTGAAGAGATGACGTCGGGCATGGTGAACCAGGGGGCAGTCTCTGCAGCCGGGCTGGCCGTGGTGAAGAGCGAGCTCGAGAATGGCCAGGTGCGCCCCGTTTCGTTCGATCGTTTCGATTTGTTTGACGTGCCAGAGGCGCAGACAAAGACAAGGACACCCAGGGCCAAAGTCAAAAAAGCTCGTCTCGGAGAGTGGACGCCCAAGATTTCCAAGATCCTGACGGAAGAGAGTTTCCGCGTGAGACCGTTGCCCAGCTTTGAGCACCGCAAGCGCCCAGCAAAGAAGGTGTCAAGTGCAATTGTGATTGCTGATGAGCCTAAGGTTCTAGGCATCGTGCGCTCGCCAGCCATACTAGCACCTGTAGCTCGCAAATGTCAGGGCTAAGTGTCGCTGTTGCTCTCACTGACGGGTTCGCGGGAAGACGCGGGGGGAAGGTGCGCATTATCTCAGGAAGAAGTGGGAGGCAGGGAAGGGACGGCGTAAGACGAAGGGTAGGGGGTAGGGCAGAGGAAAGGGTGGAGGAAGATAATGAGAAGGACGAGGGACAGCACCTAGTGCAGCATTTTACGTGCGTTGACCAAGCGGTTGCGTCGGCAACCTGATAAACGCTCGCGCGCTTCGGGACATTGCATGGCGCCGTGAAGCGGTTGAAGGCAAAAGAACTTATGCACCCAGTTCCAGCCCCCCCTGGCCCTCCACGATTCATACATACCCCCCCGCACCAAATCGGACCCCTTGAATCAGACCCTGCCGCCCAAACGTATCAGACCCCGCCCTCCAAACGCATCGCCCCCGCCCCCCCGGCGCCCCAGGCCTCGCGCGTGCGGCCCCATTTGGGGCCAGCGCGTCCACCCCCAGCATGATGTTGCCCCGCCTAGGCGCCGAGTTCCAATACCCCTCCCTCCGACTTATTCCGTCGCTCCGCAGCCGTTTTGGCCCCGGCATGTTTCTGTTGTTGAGGCCATTGAACTAGATTGGCCCAGCCATCGACTTCTCGCCAGTGCGGGCCGCGAGGTCTGAGACCGCACCATGGTGGCTGCCAGCAAGAGCCCGCACCCATCTAAGACCAGCGTCGTAGTCGTTCCAGATGGCAGAGAATGCCGCATCTGCAAGGTCAAGGACACAGAGTTGTGGGTAGATGGGAGCGGTAGATACTGGCTCTGGGGCTACCCTCCTCTGCCCAATGGCAAGAACCAAGGGCGCGTATGCTTTCTATGCACACGAGTCCACGCTGCGCGATTCGAGACCAAGGGTTGGACCATCACGAAGCTCATCGAAAGGATGGGGTCAGACAGCGACATCAACACTATGTTTATGGGATACCGCGACCAAGCCAAGCAGGCTGCTATTGATGGCACGCTGGATGACCCGAGCTCGTGGAAGCGCTTCGACGAGACCCTGCAGACTTCGGAGGCTGATCAGCTGGTCTGCGAAGACCCCAAAGATCAGTACATGGAAGAGAAGGATTACATGATGCAACACGGCGACCCAGCAAGCAACGGGCTGGGCCACAGGAGATGCAAGTTTAGAGGCATGGATGCCGTTTGCATTCCTGGACCGAGAGTTTGGACCGTGACGCGGAGGAACGTTCAAGAAGTCAGGAGACAGCAGAATCACAACGTGGGGCCAGGGATTGGCGAAGGACAGCTCGCGGACAACTTCAAGGACCTTTCGAGCGCGATGTTTTCCAGCATCCCATTTGGCACTGGGGTCTCCCTGGACGTCCTGTTGGGGTCTTCGGGGTCGTCGGGTTTGGCTGCGAGCCGCCCAGCACCGCCTTTGCCTGGGCCGGGGGTTCCCGCTGTGCCAGTCGCGGACATGGACGAGGACGACAAATTGGCTTCGTCGGCCTCGCCTTTCAAGTTCGCCAGCATGGTAACTGTGCAGGCCGCGTCTTCCCCGCAGGGTGAGCCGAAGGCCAAGGCCAAGGCCAAGAAGCGACCTGCCGCTGAGCCAGCCGAGGGCGCTCCTGATGATAAGTCCAGCAGACAATCTCACGTGACCATCCCCGGTGAATCGACAGGCAAGGCTGGGCGGACAGAGCGCCCTGCAGTCGAGGAGGCCGAGGAAACCATTCGGATCTTCATGGACTGCAACGCCGAGGAGAAGTACTTCGAAGCCAAGCCTCACTTTCGCAGGTCGTTGGATCGCTCCCTGACCAAGCTTACCAGCAAGCTCGACCAGGGCGCGATTGAGAGCACGGAGGTCAACTTGATTCTCAAGAAGCAGATGAGCGCCATGAAGGAAGTGGCCCGCGTGTGGGCCAAGAAGCAGACCTTCGATGCTGAGATGATCCGCACGTTCCGCAGCCAGAAGTCCTTCCTGAAGTTGCACCCTGTGGCGCCCTTTCCCTTCCCAGCCTGGCTGTTGCAGAAGGGCTTGGCTTGCGAGACAGAGGCAGGCCATCTGTCAAGCATGGAGGGGGGGGGATCGATTTTTTCAATGCTCCCAGGGCTGCGGGGTCGTCAGTGACCCTGCGGCGACCCGGAGAGGCGGCTCGGGGGAGGGAGGGGGGCGAGAAGGATGGGGGTATTGGGGGCCGATTTCAGAGACAAGCTCATCCCGTGCCCCCCTCCCCCTGCCCCTTCCGCCTCCCAGCTCGCCAGGGCCCAACAGGGGCTCTCCTTAGACGTGGGGGTGGCGCGATTTATCCTCGTCGGCGTTGCAAGTCGATCCCCCCCCCCAGGCATCCGAATCGGACAAGTCTTTTTGGGAGCTCTTGGAGGGCGGAAACATGGGCATGCACGGGTACAAGCAGCCATCGGAACGAGCGGTTGCTCGTGGGCGCTTGCTTCGGGCCAAGATCACAATCATCCTGAAGCATGCCAGGGTACTTCTGCAAACAAAGCAAAACCAACTGAAGGATCTGTTCGAGTGCGCCCCCAGGAACGTCAGGGAGGAATTCCCCCAGGACTTCGCATTAGTTGACGTCCTCTTGTCTCCAGGTGATTACAAAGCCGATGGCATTCGGAAGGCCCTCAATCAGGAAGGGCCTCTCCCGACGGGCCTGGTCTTCGCCGATGTCGTGATGGAGTGGCCAGACGGCGAGGAGCTGATCCGCGTCGCTCGCGCGGTCCTCGTCGAGCAGGATCCCACGATCCGGGCGGGTCGGCAGGAGGGGGGAGGACGAGGAGCAAGTGGAGGAGGGTTAGGAGGAGATGACGGAAGATGAGACAGAGGAGGGCGAGGAGGAACTCGGAGGAGAAGGAGGGGGCGGGGGCGGGGAGGCGGATGAATAGGAGAAGCGGGATAGGGCCAGGAAGATGGAATGGAGGCAATTTGGCAGAGCTAGAGAGAGCAGGACAAGTCAGAAGACGAGGAGGAGGCTGATGAAAAAGGCTTATAGATGACTTCTCCTCCCCCTTGTGCTTCTCCTCCTTCTCCTCCTCTTCCTCCATCCTCTCTTCCTCCGCCGCCTCCTCCTCCGCCACCTCGCGTCGCCCCTGCCCCTGCCCCTGCGGCGAGCGCGTCCCTTTCAGGAGGAGATCGAGGGCATCGGCAGCACGCTCGCGAAGTCGATCCCGAAGTGGATCGAGATGCTGGGGGCGACGGAGGCCGAGTGGGACGTCGTCGTGGGCGACATGCAGACAGCTCAGACTCAGGCCGAGCGGGGCCACGCCACGCGGGAGCTGTCTGGGGGGGGGGGATGGTTGAAATGATCCGACCACCCCATGCCGACTTTTCGGTTGGGTCCTCATTTTAATCCGAAGCTTCCTCCCCTCCTTCGCCATCGCCTCATCGCGGTAAGCTCGTCGTTGCCATCGTCGTCATATTGGCTCTCATCTCAGCATATTTATCATCATATTCCAGCGTGCATTCATCACGTTTGACGTTTTCTTCCCTTGATGGCAGTTCGACGCGCCGCCCTCCCTCTCATGCTTCCCCCTCGTCCCCCTCCTCTTCGTCCTCCTCCATCTTATTCTCCTTCTCCTTTGAGCGTCGCGTCTCTTACTTCTCCTTCTCCTCCTCCTCCACCTCCTCCCCCTACTCCCCCTCTTCTTCACCCCCCCCCCCCCCCCCCCCCTCCCCGCTCCGACAGAAGCGAGGCCGGGGGCGCATTTAAAAACGTGGGTTTGGTTCTTCGCCAGGAACAAGTGAGAACGTGGCATAGGGTGGGAGGCGGGGGGCCCT